AGAGAGAGAGAGAGAGAGAGAGAGAGAGAGAGAGAGAGAGAGAGAGAGAGAGAGAGAGAGAGAGAGAGAGAGAGATTCCAGGGATTTTCAGCTGAACGCCAATAAATTCTGTTTTGTCATTTCGTTCCGGCCTTTAGGGTCTCCTGAACAGCCATGGACTCCCATGCTTAGTCTGTGTCAAAGAGCACTGCCAAGCAATGTTTCCAGCAAAGCTCATTTGTCATTAGAATGCAAGGAGACAATATCAAGCCATAGGGAAGACTCGAGATCAGACAAGCACAGTGTTAAAATTTCACTAAGGATTACTTCACATGATAAGGATTACTTCACATGATGTTTGGGAGAAGACGGACCACACATCTCTCTGCAAGCCCATCACTCGTCTCTGAACATTCCACAAGAGCAATCTCAGAAGCACATACTTGCAGGTGGTGAGATATGCAATGTCATATCGTTCTCTTTGGAAGTACCCAGCCATCTTCTCCCTTGGCCACCTGCTGCACAGAACAACATGCTGTCAGAATTTTAAAACAAATTTGATTGATCAGATTTGATCCTCACAATTCTCACTAACATAGTCATGATAGTGTCACTACCGTCTTTACCCGAATAGAAAGCACGGTCATTATAGCTGCATTTGGGGCAACTTTTCAGTCCAGATGGAGCAGTAAGGACCTGGCAATGCTGGGATTCTGTTCGGGTGAAGACAGTAGGTAGCATCCAAGCCACAATGATGACAACACAACACACGTTAAGGAATCACCTTACGGCAATGAGCTTGACTTCATACTAGGTAGGGCATTATCCACGACCTCGTGTGTGGCACAATAATGACTGTCCCAGGCATTCATGGAAGAAGGATTGAATAGTTGTCAGGCCAAAGGTGATGACGTTCTCGCAGGAGCGAGAAAAAAAAAGAAATGCCGGCATGCAACTACTATACATAGAAAAAAAAATAGGGAGGTATACATGTATATATTGTCAAACAGAAAATACATACATTCAGAACACTTCTTTTCTTTTGTCAATAAGACTGGAAAGCAGGCCCAGTGTCCCTCGGATCTGATAATTCACCCAACACTTCCCTTCACTTCGGTCAAGGGACCCTGAGGCAGCAGCATTGATTGCTTCCCTTAAAACCACCACCACCTCCAAGCCTCTTTTTGCCGAGGCTACGAGCTGCAGGGCGCCAGGCTTTGCCCAGCCCAAGCGGGACCAGTACCGGTAGTCGGAAATAGAAGTGGGGGACCAGTACCGGCCTGCGGATGGATTTCGTGTTGGCCTAGGGTTTGAGCCGCGGACATCCGTTGGAGGGTCCGTACAGCGTCAGCGCCGTTGGCTGTCTCAGATCTTTTATTTTAGGATTTTCTACTCTTATGATGCGGATGGAATGCAGCCGCCACCCTTCCGCAGGCAAACTGTTTCCAACAGGCGGGCCAAATCGCACAAAGTCCACATGGCCACATCGTCATCGGCATTTCAAACTCTTTTTTCCATCTTTGGACCTCCGTACACACATTGGTCGAGCCCAGCTGCTCCCCTTCCCCTCCCCCGATCCTGCCCCGAATGCCCAGACTTTGCGGAATGTAACGTTTCCAACCCTTGACTTTGCCTGGGAAAGGTAGTGGTGGTTCAATAGGAAGGATTTACTACCGCTCAACTTGTTATCCCCTATCTAGCCTAGCTCTCACGTTGGACAGGGTGTCAACTTGCTCTCCCCCTTTATGTCTTGCCAATGGTAGCTAGTCCTTTTGTTTCGGGTTAAGCTCAGAGAGGAACTCAAGTGGGAACATGGCCATCCTGACAATTAATCCTCCTTCAAAGGAGCAGTCAATGCTGATCAACGGTTTCTTCGGACTAATGGAAGAAAATTGTATGCGTCTTTCAAGAGTATTCAGTACAACTTGCCGGTGGAAAGTGACCGGACTCTGCGCGCCAACATCTGGCGACAACACGATGCGCAAGGATAGTTGTATCACCATAAAGGTACCCAAAACAGAGGCAGGAGCAGCAAAAGCCAAGCATCGGCCACAATAACGCTGGAAATCGCAGCAGCAGCAAAAGCCCGGCATCAGCCACCCTGGCAGCACCAGGAGCAGCACAGAGATCTGCACCAGGCAGCCAAAGCAGCAGTAACAGTACCAAGAGGAGAATCAGCCCTGGTCGCAGCACCGTCAGGACAGGCATCCTAAGCTAGAGAGGAATAGCCAGCAGCCAAAGCAGTCCAGGCAGCAACAGTGGCATTGACAGTGCTAATGGCAGCATCAGGGACAAAGCGGCACAATCAGCTGGGGCGGCAGCAGTAATAGCAACAGCTGCAGTAGACATGGGCAGCACTACCACCAGGACTGGCAGTGCCCAGGTGAGGGCAGAAGCTGCAGCAGCAGTGGCAGTGGCACCAGCAGCTGCAATAAAGATGGGGGCAGAGCTGGAGCCACCAGCGACAGCAGTGTCAATACTAGCTTTGGCAGCGGTGTCGGGCGGCCAAAAGCAGTCGGCAACCCGAAATGGAGAGAATTGGACCTTCGACCGAATGCCTAGATGAATTCTTTGGGTATTTTTGTTAAACGCGTCAGGAGAAATTAGGGGCGTTCGGTCGAAGGTCCAATTCTCTCCATTTCGGGTGGCCAACTGCTTTTGGCCGCCCAACAGCGGTAAATTTGCCACTGGTGTCAGACTTGGCTGCACTGGTGTCAGACTTGGCTGCACTGGTGTCAGACTTGGCTGCACTGGTGTCAGTGTCGGCAACCGTGGCAGTTTCAGCAGGGGTGGTGGGAACAGCACCAGCAGAAGAGTCAGCACCGGCCATGGCAGTAGCAGTTCACAGTGCTGGTGGTGGTAGTAGTGATGGTAGTAGTGAGTGCTGGTATTAGTTAATGGTGACGGGCGGTCGTACTGGTGGTGGTACGAATTCTAGGACGAGATAGGAGGAGGAGGGGAAGGGGGAGGTGAAGACTGAGAAGAAGATGCCCGCTGAAAGGGGTATACGCACTTGGGACTCGGCAATGAACAAATGAGTTGCGTACCAGCAGTTTAACAGCCTTTTTTTTTTTTTTAAGAAGTTTTTCTGTTCATCTCTATAACTTCAACTTCCTTGTTATTTTGCTATGTTATTGGCATGATTCATTACAACTTTTTAGTGACCAGTCGTTTTATAAATTTATGAGCTTAGTTCAAAAATCCCCCCAAGTGTTGGATTTACCGATAGAAAAGGAGAACACCATCACCGGAACATCACTACTCCTCAAGCTCTTACGTTCTTTCCGGAGCCTCTACTCTGTGATATTACATCACATCAGTACGCTAGGTAGTCGGAGCTTACTTAGAACAAGTAAGCTTCACACCTCACAGTGCTTTTACTTCTCGCCTTTTCAAGTGACCGTCTCTTTCACTGTGTCTGATAACTTCTTTCAACAGGGGATTCCCGCTTACATGCTTTCGGTGTTTCTCCTGTATCAACATAGTTACCCAGCAATGCCCCTGGCATGACAACCAGTCAAGCTATTCCATCGGTACTGTTTCAAACGAGAGTCGTGGTAAGCGCAACCCAGAGTAGATGGTTAGGAAGACGACCCGTTGTTCATGGTGTTGCAAAAAAATTAAAAACCCTGTACACCATCCTCATGCAGGGGAAGAAGGACGAACAAAAGGATATCGAAGGTCCGTTTCTTGTTGGGGAAAACCATTCAAAGGTGGATTGTTAGAGTGCCGATCTGTCACGCCAGAAGACGCAGGTTCAAATCCTGTTTTTTTCCCGGGAGGTAAGGCTGAGTGGCAGAAGACATTGGTTACTTCCCTTATTGATGTTTCAGGATCCATGACCTTCACCCTAGGCAGAATGCCTCAAAGCCTTTTCTGCTCTTGATGTTGCCTGTTTAGAAATTATAAGCGGATTTTAACCACTGACACGACGACTTTCAGTCCTTTACAAGACCAACTGAGCTACCTAAACAAAACAAAATCAAACTACATTAAGAAAGGTTAATTCAACAATTACCAAGTACGAACTACTACAAAATCACCCATTGGTCTTGGACACCTACCCTCCAAAATGCTCCCAAACTAATTCAAATACTACAAAATCACCCATTGGTCTTGGACACCAAACTAATTCAAATAATACCTCCCATCCCTGAGGAGAATGAAATCCAATACATGCATCAGTAGTTAAGGGGCCAGTACATCCATGCCTCTTTTGGGCGAGGCGGATTCCCACTGCACGCCAAGTTTTGCCGAAATGCCAGCAGGGTGTTTTTGTTTTTGTTTTGGCTGGCGCCGCCAGCCATTTTCATCCGGTCGCCCCGAGCCTCCGTTTTTTCCGGAGTGACTGAATCGTGATTCTCAAGTTGGCTGGGGCCATGTACCGGTGGTTTAAATTTAAAGGACCAGCACACCCGAGCCTGTCAGACTCACACTGCGCGCCCAAGCTCTGCTGAACCGCCAGCGGCACACTCTTTTCTTTTTTGGCTGACACACCGCCAGCCATTGGGGTCGATCAGCATAATCGTTGACAGTGACCAAAGAGTGTGACAATACACATCACTCCGGTCAGAGGGAATGGAACAACACGCAAAAGAACACAGAAAACAACAGACAGATGCAGTCGTAAATGCACAACAGCATCCTTACTGAGGAAAGAGCTTCCCCATCACACCACTGGGGGATGGCAGCTGTGGCGGCAACGTGCACAAAGTGCAGGTGTAATTACCTGCACCATGCTGGTCAGCCGTGGGTTGAAGATACGATATCTGCATCACAGCCACTGCACCAATCAGAGTTAGCCCGACATTCTAATGAGATTTCCAATCTTGTCGCACTTGTACATGAACATCTATTGATATAGATGGAAATATATTAGAGTCTACTACAGACTAAATACATACATAAATGAACATCTATTGAAGTATACAGATAGATCGCAGTTGGTACACCTATGAAATGTCGAAATACAGACTCAAGTTCAAATCCAGATACAACCAGAACAAAATCATTCTCAATTACCTGGGGCCGGTCGGTTCAACGATGAAACCTCAAGCCCATCTCCCTTTTGCGAATTTTTTTTTTTTTAAAAGGGATACATAGATGTATATAGCATCACAGCAAAGCGACCTTCTGCTCTACACAGCTACTGATATTTTTACACTCAGCTGCCAGAACAATTGCCTCTGCCAGAATCACTACAATGCCAGGGTTTCCGCAGCCATGCATGTCAAGGGATGCTCATCCCTTCCTGACTGTGTGCACCCTCCCCTTCTGAACAACATATATCTGTTTTTTAACTTAGGAAAAAAAAAAGGGGCGACGGCCTTGAGATATCATCATTGAACTGACCGGCCCCAGGTAATTCAGAATGATTTATTCTGGTCATCGGTGACATCTAGATTCAAACCCGGGTCTGTATTTCAACAGTTCACGGGTGTACCAACTGAGCTAGGCCCATTGGTTGTATGGTGAACTGATATCTTTTTCTTTTTTCAGGGACATTATGATGAATACAAGGTTATCTGTGACACCAATTGTTCCTTCCTCCTGGCCTGCCACCAACCTTCTTTTTTCTTCTCAGGAAAATATATTGTAATTAAAAGCTGGAAACCGGGTCCAGCATCTGTCAAGACAGATACACGCTCAACACCCCTTCTCCCCATTATGCCCGAGGGACCCTGAGATGACGGTATTCATTAACTCCTTTGGGAGAAGGATGTACCACGGCTTACCGAACTTTCTATCGTTCCTGCAGCACCAAGAAACCATCATCTCAAATTTGCTCCTCTCAGCTGTGTCAGGCTACCTGATGTAACTTTCAATTCCTAAAGCAGATCTCATCTAAGGGCAAACAGAACCTGTGGAGGGCCATGTCTGTATTTGAGCTCCTACTGTCACCCTTCCTTCAGCTGTCCTGTCTTTTCAGTGCTTAGTTCCATTCCTGACAAGTATGGGCTTTGGTACCACTTAACACTTTCATAGAAGAAGCTCGTACAGACAAGCCCTCTCTCTCTCTCTCTCTCTCTCTCTCTCTCTCTCTCTCTCTCTCTCTCTCTCTCTCTCTCTCTCNCACACACACACACACACACACACACACACACACACACACACACACACAAGACAGAACCTTATGGTTCTGGCGCTATGTCCATACTGGGGAGCATCGGTCAGGTTCCCTTTCCATTGGCAAGTCAATCGGGGAACAATGAGTAGACACACCAACGCATCTCCCCATTAGTATGGTTGAGAGATTCAAGTGCGCTGCAGTGATTACTTCCCTTGGAAGGACGTACCGCCCCTCACCCCTGCTTAATGTAGCCTGTTGGTCTACTCTCCCATCCGGTTGTCTTCTGTCCTTGTCTATATTTGTCTATACTTGGAGTCCCGCTCTTGTAACACAGCCTGCGCCCGGCTGTTTGGTAAGCCCTAAACCCTCGCCACTAAGCCGTCTCCCCTGTCTAATTTAGCCTGTTGGTCCACTCTCGCATCTGATTGTTTTCTGTCCCCTGTCCTTTGGCGTGACTGGGCCCTGGATCCAGTCCTCCCTCTCAGCAGACACTGGTTCCAGGCAAGCCCTCTCTTTTTTCTTCTTTTTTTAGAGTTTTTTTTCAGGGGGGGAGGGTCCTTCCTACCAGCTGAAATTGTCAGGATCCCAATCACAGTTAACCCTTTTGACATTCTCTTTTTTTTTTTTAGTTAACCCTTTTGACATTCTCTTTTTTTTTTTCTTTTTTTTTTTTAAGGCTAATTTTAGTAATTTGCTCAACCAAATTCAACCTTCTGTCTAGTCCGACAGGATGGGCCTTCTGGGGTTATGATCATTGTATTTTCGCCGTACAGGGGAACCCTGTATTAACCATATCCTGTCGGTGAGAGCACGTGAAACTGTGCACAACCTGTTGCTGTTTTACCTTTTCCTATCTGTTCTAAAGCGAAACCTTTTTGGGAACTCTAGGCGCTTTCCATGCCTATGATCATCTCGTCATCTCTGGCGGTGACTGTGCCACTCAGCCGTCCCTCCTCGAGATGTGCCCTTTCCCACAAAGTGAAGAGTACTGATCTTGCTTGTATGACTGCCACCTTGACACTGCCTAGGAAATTCCTGCTGAAGATTTGCTTAAGTTGAACAATTTTGTCTGGATTGTTTTCACCCCTTGAATGGTTTTCCTCCAGTGCACTCTAAGCCCTGTTTCATTTGTTGCTCGACCATCTCCCATGCCTCCTGTGGACCCATTTTCCTTTTGTCTAGGCCTGCAACTGACATGCCATTTGCCGGGACTCTCTCTCTCTCTCTCTCTCTCTCTCTCTCTCTCTCTCTCTCTCTCTCTCTCTCTCTCTCTCTCTCTCTCTCTCTC